TCTCTCTCCCCCGTCGTTCCCACAGCGCACGATTCGGTCATGGTACTCCCACCCTCCCCTCCTTTGCGCTACCTCCTGCCTCCCCCTACCTCCTGCCGACGCGGCCCTCCCCGGCACGCAGTTGCCGCCGGAAACCGCTTTCCCGCCAACCGACACCCCCCCCCCTCTTGCGATGCCGCCCGTGGCAGTAACCGGCAGGCCTCCCCTCGACCCGCTTGCGATGCCGCCCGTGGCAGTTACCGGCAGGCCTCCCCTCGACCCGCCCTTTTTCATCCCGCGACCCTCCACCCCCATTTCCGCTGCAGCGCCCAGCCCTTCCGGACCGTCGGCCTCCGCCTCCAGCCGCTCCCTTCCGAACCGTCGCTCTACGGCTCCGCCCGCATTTTCGCTGCCTCGCGTCCTCCTTGTCCCGCGCCCCTCCACTGCCGCGCCGTTTGGGACCCGCCGCCTCCGCGCCCGTTTCTGCTGGGCCCGGCAGGGGCGTCACGCTGGGCCCTTTGCTTGCTTTAAGGGTATAGAGATAGAGAAATGAAGGTACAGTGATTCCTGTCAAGATAGGAAATGATTTGATTAGCTCAGCACAAAATTCCCTGAACTAATCCCGGCTGAGTTGAATCTGCATCCATGAACACGACTGTACACTAGGCCAAGGGGTAAATATGATTTTGGGATCTCCACGCGTTCAGAAATACAAACTCACCCACCTCAGGAGCAAACCCCTCAACATGGTCCTTCTCCCTGGTCAGAGCCGTCTGAGAAACAAACAGAGGAAAGTAGCCGTTCTCGACTCCCAGCTTCTTGATCTCAGTATCAAGGAAATCCTGAAGAGAAGCACACAGGCCGCCACCCCACATATCATATGTAAGAGTATGAGCACATACACTGATCCCTTTCCACTCCGGCATACTGATCGGCTTAACCACAAACAAAAAAAAGAGTATGAGCACATACACTGATCCCTTTCCACTCCTTAGCAGAGCATGAAACCTCTAAATGACAACGACTCCGCAATTTGCTAGTTCGTCTCGAACAGCACCGCTACCATCTTCACCTAAATAGAACGCCCGGTGATTGTCAGTACATCTAGAGACTCCAGACTGAAAGTTGCCCCAAATACAGCTATAATGACTGGGTGGTGTACTCGGGTGAAGGTAGTAGTTCAACCATGACTCACCAGACGAAAACTGCATTCCTAATCACCAAGCGACCGATTATTGACGATGCACTCACACTACGACTTTTCCAGATAAATATTGGCATAATTCAGGTCACATACATCCATAGAAATGCTACAGGTAGTAAGACTATGCCCCTAAGCAGAACCGAACTCTACATACACGTGCAGCATTGTAGCGAAGTGGAGATTGTCACTCTGTCACCCTGAGACTCTGCTCATACAGATCAAGTCACATCACGTGGCACACACCTTTCACCTTTTATCGCATGCAACGTGAATGCTCACACCATTCCTGGAAAGAGTTGCTTCACAAATCTCTGGTACTAGAAAATAGCTCACTTCACCAACAGGCCTAGTTCAGTCGGTACACCCATGTGTTGAAATACAGACCCAAGTTCGAATCCTGATGCAATCAGATGAACAGAATAAAATAAATTCTGACTTAAGGAAAAAATAAACAAAAAAACTCACTTCTAAACAGGGAGTAGACCATAAGCAAATTGAACAAATGACACATATTCGAAATACATCCACTTGCAAGTAGTTGGATGAAAAAATTTGGCGGCAAGCGTAGTTTGAAGTACGAATATTTTTGCTCCCTGATGGACCCCATAGGCCCGCAACTTTTTGGTTTGGTACTCCACGGTCGGGAAAGTGAATAACTAGGTTAAAAATCAAAATAGCCTTGGGAGAGGTAGTGGTTTACCAGAATCCCAATGAGGTGCATAAAATGCCAATCTAGGACGTCATACGTGGTACCTGTGCCATTCGTCAGGTGATGTCAGCCAGCCCATTTTTCTCTGGGTGAGATGTGCACTTCCATGAACTGCCACATGTACAATTGGTAAACCATGAACTACGAACTTATCAAGGGGGGTTGAACTCAGTGGACGTCAAAGGAGGGGAGCTCGCCCCGAGGGGAACACAGTGCCATCACCAAGGCATGGCTCTCGGACAGATACCACTGGAGCGGATTGAGGGGCAGCTGGCTGATTCCAAGACAAACTAAACTGCAGTGCTTCTCACAAGAAGAGCACAGGAATATCATCTAATGATAAGCAATGCATGGTGTCCAAGTGCCTAGCTGGAGACGAGCATGGCCATGCGAGCCACTCTGGAACATTTGGTGGATTCTGTATGCAAACAAGATTATGGACATCACACATGTGGTTAACGGGGACCCCCCAGTTTCAGTTCCTGGGTAACAGGTCCAAAACTGAAATTAGGCTTTGGGGGTGAAATTTTATGTTTTTTTGGTTTGTTTTTTTTTGCCTGTTAATGTCTTACTTCAAGGTTGTTGTGTACCAAATTTGGTCTCATTTGGAGAATTGGAATTTCCTCTGATAAGGCCATTTCCAAAAACGCTGAAAATTCTGAAAATTCGCTGAATCCAAAATGTCATTCAAGTGCACTTTTGCCTTACTGTTTCACCCTGTTTTTATTTTATTTTTTCTTTTTTTTCTAATGGTTTCTTAATATGGTGTGCACTCTATGGAATGATGCAATTTCTCGGACATCAGGAGGTGCAGACGTTGAGCATAAATTTCTCTGTGTCCAAGCACCAAAAGAGAGGACGTTCGAGAAGAGGGGGAGTCTGATTGAAGGGGGACTCAAGATTGATGGTGAGGGCATCACCAAGGTGTTAGGAGGAAGAGGAGGCTGAGTGTGACATTTGAGTAGGAGGATGAGTGTAACACTTGAGTAGGAGGATGAAGACTTCTGTGAAGAAGAGTTATCAGGGGGAGAAAACGATGACGACAGAGAACCAGATATGGTGCAGGCATGCCTTGTAGGAGATAAGAGAGCAGACACATCCTGCACAGGCATTTCCGACATTACCTGAGCAAAATGCATTATGAGACCAACATGCATTCTACGAGCCTGTTTTTGCCCATGTGGATTTCTGCCATGGGCCGAAGGAAAACAAACCTGCGCGGACACAAAATTGAGTCTTTTTGACTGGTGCCGCCAGCCTTTTCCATGAAGTAGACCCGACCTGCAATCTTGTGATGGGTTCACAGGCACATGGAAACAAGATAGCTGATACATCCATCAGCAGACTGGCATCCAATGGTTATGGATTCTTCCCAGAGTCATAGGTGTGCCGTTTAACGTTTAAGTGCAATGCATTCTTTGTCTATACCCTCCTCCTTGCGCACATCACTGACTTTACCACTATATATGCTCCTCTTCCGTTCAACGTTTAAGTGCAATGCATTCTTTGTCTATACCCTCCTCCCTGCGCACATCACTGACTTTACCACTATATATGCTCCTCTTCCTCCCGGTCATATCCTGCACAACTGGAGGCAAAAGCAACTAACAAGGCTCATGTGCACGCCTTTCGCCATGCGCAGGAGCAAGCCCCACGTGATCCCCTCTGCATGGCAATACAAGAACCCATTCTAGGAAATGCAAAACTGGTTCAGGGCATGGCAACAACTGCACCGCAGCCATACCAGATTGTATAACAACCACGCGGGAGCCGTTGCTCACCCTGAAATTGCCAATCTTATGCTGATCTGAGGCAGACCCGTCCTGCTCGCTCATGAACTCCAGTTGCTCCTCCTCATTGTCGGTGTGCAAGTTTGGCGACACACTGGTTGGAGTGCTGGCTGGAGCAGCACTAGCACTCAGCTGCGTTGCTGGGGAAGGAGCAAGGACCCGTAGGAAGAAGAAGACCAGGACTAGGAAGAGGAGGGACAGAGGTACTTACCTGGCTATGGTGGTTGTCATCTTCATCACCTTGGTGGGCGCTGCAGCAAGAAGGGCCCAGCAGGGGTAGAGCTACACCAAGAATCTTCGAGGCAGAGTCAGGCATTGCAGCCTGAACTAGAGCAGCCATAGCTGCTTTGTGTTGTCCTTTGGACAGCAGGGCGATGCCCTGGTAGTCCGCCATAGCCTCGGCCTATGAGGAAGAGAGAGAGAGGGGCGGCCATGGCTATGGTGGACCTCAAGTGATACCTGCAGTAGAAGAGGGACTCGGACATAGACTCTGGATCAGCCATTCAACATTGTTATTATTATTCTTGTTTGGAATAAGAGGGGAAGAGATAAGGAGGAGGAGAGTGGTTGGCTAAGAAGAAGAGCATTATCGTTGGTCTACACTGGTGTACATCATCTTCTTCTTCTTTCTTTCTTCTTTCTTTCTTCTTCTTCTTACCCTCTCTCTCCTCTCAAGTTCATTCATTTCTGTTTGCAATTGGACGGCATTGTACTTTGTGATGAATGTGTACTTCGAAATTGGCCAGGATCATAACAGTCTTTACTTTGGGTTTCTTTGGGGCATCCCCTTTTTTATTTGTTCTTCCAGCTCCCTTTTCTTGTGCCTCTCACGTACAAGGCTGGCCACATTGGTTGTGGTTTAGCTCCACCTGTGGGCAGATGGGAGACGGGGCATGCGCTGCCACCAGTTTGCCGGGGCCTTGGCAGGGGAAGGAAAAGGAAGAGTATCTACAATTGTCAGCTATCACTTGACTGTCCCATTTAGAATTGCATACACAGTTTGCCCTGCCAATATTAGTATCATCCTCATCACGCATGTCCTCTCTGCCACCAAGGTCAAACTAACCATGCACTCCTTCGGCACTCTCCATTCAGCATACCTACTTTCTTCCCCTGAGCACAATGCCCCATCATCATTAATGCATACACACCATAGACTAACCCTCAACTCCTTCGGTGCTCCTCCATTCAGCATACCTACCTTCTTCCCCTGACCATAACGCCCCATCATCATGAATGCATACACACCATATTCCGATCGAAATCCGGTCATGACGATTGATGGTATGTTCGGGGGAAAGTGTATTCCAGTCTGGAACAGTGCTGTTACAGCAGAACGGCACTCCCCCCTCAACCACAGATAAAAAAGTGCACTGGGTTGATTACTGTGAGAGATTATATATGGTCCCAGACACCTGCCCCATGAACCATAGGGAGAAATGGAGAACAGGTTCAAGAAAACGTGGGGAAGAAAGGGAGAAAAGGTGCAGAAAACGTGGGGCTGCAGCAGACAGTATACTGGTGGGGGTTTCACCAACTCGTACAGTTATCTAGCACCAGCTGCTGTATATGTTTGGCACTTCTCCACATTTTATCTCGCCTTTTCCACATTTGTTTCCCGGGTGCTATATTGGCACAGTAGAAAAAAAAAAGTGAACGAATGGCAGACAGCATAGAATGAAAAATGAAACGAATTCCTTAACAAAAAAGATAAAAAACCTCCAGGATGTAGTCGAGGGTGGTGGCCAGGCCTCAGGAGGTGCCCGTAGTACTCATCCATTGGGAGGTCAGCTGGATTTCAGGGACCCAGGGGAAGTCACCTCAAGATGGGACCATGGTACCATGACCCATATGCTAATGCTCCGATCGCAAGTTGTGCTCTGCACCAACGCTTACCAGACAGACTAACCCAAGAACGTCTTCGTGCAGTAACTCTTATGTTAAGGAGGACGACCCGGGCACAGGTGGGGTCCATGCATATGCAGTATCATGCATCCATCCCCCATCTGTGCCTCATCCCGCAGACTCTATGGGCAGCCAACCGCCCTTCCACTAAGATGTGATATCCCTCCCGCCCTCCCCTATCCTCCTAAGCATGATGCCTTCCTACCCAAGGCTCCCCAAGAATCCACAATCCTGACTAATTCCCCCAATGAGATGAAAGCAATTCCACACCGAAACTTTTTTACAGTTTTTTCTCCTGTTCCTTTTTTTTTGTTCCCCTGTTTTTTACTTTTCGTTTCCTCATTCGGCTCACTCACAGACGCTCCTCATACTTCATGACAGACAGATCAACTTTTGCAAAGTGTGGAAAGGAATTTCTTATTTCCCCTGATGCCCCCCCCCCCGCCCCCCCACCCCACTTTTATCCCACTTGCAAATCTTTTTCCTTTTTTCCCACTTGCTCATCTCTTTTTCCCTTTTCCCACTTGTTCTTTTTTCTTTTTTCCCCCTTTTTTTCCCACATCTTTCTTTTTCTCCCCACTTGCTCATCTTCGTCTGTTTTCTTTTTCTCTCCCTTTCTCATCTTTCTTCTTTAAAAATCGCTCCCATTCATCACGTTTTTTCTTTTCCTCACTTGCTCATCTTCTCTTTTCTTATTGCCCTACTTTCTCTTCTTACCTTGATTGTTTCCCAGATGGAATAGGACCATGGTCGGAGGATGTAGCAGCCCGAGACATCATAGTAGTCAATCATCTCGCCTAGCAGCACGAGCTGTGGAAACCAAAAAGCCATCAAAAACGAAAAACAGTCAAACATAAAAAGGGGTCACAACAAGGAGGGGGCGGAAGCGAGTCAAAACCCCACAAAATATACGATTGAAAAGCAAAAACGAGTCAAAAGGTCCTTCAGGACATCCGTTGAAATTGGAACGATATAGAGAAAGAAAAGATTAGCATGGCCCCTGTGCAAGGATGACACATAAATCGAGAAATGGTCCCCCCCCCAAAAAAAACGAGTCAACAGCAACAGCCAGTCAAAAACAAAAAAGGGTCACAAGCAAAAAGGAGTCGACAAAAAAGACACGTATCAGCGCCTTCAACTTTACACAGCTAAAAAGGCTCACAAACGTAAAGAAAATGTTCACAATAACATTTTGAACAGCCTTTTCAAGCACTGCCACACAGTGGACGTGAGCATTCACACACACATTCAGGGCTTTTGCAGTTGCGCACGGACATGCTGCAATGCACAATGAAGCACAGATACATTGATTGCATGAGGACACAACGCATAGAACTCTAAAAAAAAAAGGGGAAGGGAAGATAAGCGGGCAAAGGATAAGGCAGCCGCGTAAGAAACAACCAAGTAAAAGAGAAGCAGGATATCATCTGCCTGAAACTTTGCCACAAGTGTGAACGTAATCTTCTCTCTCTCTCTCTCTCTCTCTCTCTCTCTCTCTCTCTCTCTCTCTCTCTCTCTCTCTCACACACACACACACACACACACACACACACACGCCCACACACACATGCACGACGCAAGAACATGACGGTCTGGTCATGCGTTCAAAGTGCCCGGATGTGTGTATGGTTCATGACACCGACCTCTGAGAACGTCACAGTTGCTTCCCGATTATTTTCACAGTCTGACAGCGACGATGGTGTGTTTTGACAGGCGAGAGTCAGGACCACCAAGATTTCGGGCAACCATACTAACTCTGTCAAAAGTGTCACATCGTGAATCTGAAGACACGAGTCTAACTCCCGCTATTCACCTCTCGCATAAAATTTGACTCTGGCGAGCCTGTCGAAATGAACCCCTCCAAAGCTGTAACGGACAAATCAAGACAGTTATTTGTTCGTTCTAAAGAATGCACCTCACGTCAGATCTTTGGTAAAGATTTTGAAAAAAAGGACAGTTATTCAATGACTGAAGTCAGTGAGCAGAAGTCAATCGATTCAAACAACGATATCGAAATAAAGCCACAAAACAACATCAAAACTAAAAGTAAAAACAAAAAAGGAAGAAAAACAAAAAGAGCTCATAAGACCGACCCTCTGTTAGAGAGACGTGAGCAAGTTCGCACAACACGTTTTTGTCAAGTACATGTCGAGAACCTCCTGTTCGGAGGCGGAACTTAAAATAAATAAATAAAAAAGACGAGACGTTATTTCTATTGATGCCCAAGTGCGTACACAGGGAATTCATGCAATGACTCCTCTGCTATGCACTGGAAAATGCACGAGCTCTTAAAAGAGGGGGGAGAGGGGGGGGAGAGGGGGGAGGGGGGAGGAGGGGAGAATCAAAGAGTCAAATGCAAAAAAGGAAAGATCAAGAGCAAGGGGTTTAATAGGTATATATAAGAGTAATTATCCTTACTTCCGAGTACCACTCGCCAAAGTTCTCGTCCTTCTTAACCGAAAGTCCCAGCTTTGTCTCCTTCTTCACCTCCTTTCCTCCTGAGGCAAAAAAAAAAAAACAGCATAAACAAGCAAGCGAGCAGAAGAAGAAAGAAAGCAGTCCAAATTTAAAATTCAGAAAAAGAAAATGCCGGTAGGTTCGTATCACTTCCAGGGTCAGGACCCTGTCCGAAGTTCAAAAAAAAAAAAAATTGAAAAAAAAGAATGCAGGAAGGTAGGTTCACAACAGACGGCATTGTCCGCTTCCGTTCAGAAAAAAAAAAATATAACAAAAAAATCATGCGCTGCATCGATTCAAACAAGATGAGAATGGCCCTGTACAGCCAGGGATGCTAAGCTTGCACCGCATCATCTTTCTCCTACCCCTATCTTCTTCTTCTTTTTTATTTTTTTACAGATTTTGGTTTTGTTTCTCTGCTGAAAATCGGGTTCAGGGTCCCTCACAGATAGAACCCAACCAACGCTTTCCTAACGGTTATGGCCGAGGAGCCCCGAGTCAGTGGCATTTGATTGCTTCGCAAAGGGAGGATTTACCCCTGCTCAGCCCTGCTCAACCCTGCTCAATCGTCATTAATTGCACCCCTTTTTCCTTGTCCTGAGTTACTTTTTTTCCGTGGGCTCAGGGCATTGATTGCTCCCCTTCCGTGGCGGATTGACCCTCGCCCCACGTCATCCTCCTCCCTCCTCCTCCTCCTTTCTACTCCCTCCTCCTACTTGCTCCTTCTCGCTCCTCCTGTGCACGTGGCTTTTTTCCTTCCACCTTGTTCTCGTCCTCGTCTCCTCCTCCCTCCTCCTTGTCCTTCCTCCTCCTTCCTCCTCCTCCCTCCTCCTCCTCCCTCCTCCTCCTCCCTCCTCCTCCTCCTCCTCCTCGTTCCCCACTGTCCTCCGTCCTCCTCCGCCCTCCTCCGTCCTCCTCCGTCCTCCTCTCTCCTCCATCGTCCCTTCTCTCTCCTCCCATCGCGTGCCACGTGAAAAACCGCTATGAATTCTTTTGTTTTCATCGTGTTTCGTCCTCCTCCCTCCTCTCCTCCTGTCGCGTGCCACGTGGCACATATCCTCGTCACCATCGTCCCTCCTCCCTCCTCTCTCCTCATGTCACGTGCCACGTGACATACCAGCACGCGGTTTTTTTCATCTTGTTCTCGCCGTCCTCCTCCCTCCTTCCTCCTCATCTTCCCTCGTCCTCCTCCCTCCTTCCTCCTTTCGCCTACTCCTTCCCCCCCCCGCCCTCTCTCTCTCTCTCTCTCTCTCTCTCTCTCTCTCTCTCTC